CACCAGTGCCAGCACAGCTCTCTGTGCCCCCACCCTGAGGAACAGCCCTCAGTGGGAGTCCCACAGCTGCCCCTGAGGTGGGGACACATTGAATGCTCACCCTCTCCTTGCTCTCCCCCACAGCAGCTGGAGGAGGGACACTGGCACACTGGCAGGATGCTGACTACCTCTTCAGCAGAGACGCTGCCCACCCTGACACCCGCAGGTGGGCAAAGTTGGCCTTTTTCTGTGCCCTTAATGTATGTAGTGCAAAGCATTTCACGGCTGCTGACATCCTGTAAGGTCAGGGGGTGTTTCTAAAGTCCTGGCATGGATCTCCCAGGGTTTTACTGCCCAGTGGGGTCTGGAAACTCACACCCACACTAAACTATAGGTAGAACAGAAATGGCTGTAAAAACCATCCCTGTCTTAGGCTGGGCTGAACTCTGATAAAAATGAAACTGGTTGTGCTGTTTTCTCGCTGCCTGCGAGTTATCCCTGGAAAATCAGGGTGTGGAGTAGAGGGGACAGCACCCCTGAGGAAGGGACTCGGTGTGAGTTAACACTGAAAGGAAGCACTGGGGTAAAAATGGCTGGGAAAGGGCTGGACTGCTTAACATGAAAAATCAGAGCTCCAGAACATTTCTCCAAACACAAGGAAACATTTCAGGATCTTCCTCTAGCTAATGAATATTTACACCTATTCACTGTCACATAAATAGATTTACCGGAGTCGGAGCTCTGATGGTTACTGCAGCCTTTGCCAGGCTGGATTAAACAGCTGCTTTTTAACACACCAGTGCTTAAAACTGGTTTAGATTTCTGTAATCTCTCAACCACCCACTCCAGCTGTGGGAGGAGAATCGCAAAACACCCGGAACAGCAACCTTCCTTCCACCACAACATCCTGCCCCACCGGGGTCAGAGATGAGTATATATGGATGTACAAAACATGTATTCAATGTGTGTGCTTAGATCACTTCTTGGGGGGAAAATGTAATCACTAACCGCATCATTAAACCCAGGAAACTATATCAAATTCCTCTAAGGAGGATCACAGAATTTTAGGGGTTGGAATGAACCTTACAGATCATCTAGTCCCAACATCTCCCACCAGAGCAGGCTGCTCAGGGTGGTGAGGGTTGGGGCACCTTCCACGTGCTCTTGGCCGGGTGAGAAGGGACAAGCAGGGAGAGTAGTAAACAGAGTCATAGTTTTGCCCTCCCTGAAGAGCCAGTCTCATTTTGAGAGCAGAGCTGGGCCATTAATCCCTAAAAACATATTGAGTCAGGCCCCAGTGTCCTTCCTCCAGGCTGTTCTCGGGAGGTGCTGGCAGCAGGGACTAACAGGATGTGGTTGGTAGAGCCTCATAGACAGAAAATCTCAGAAAATTAGGTACTTCGGGCAAAAACCTCAGAGCAGGTCGGTTTTAATGACAACAGCCCTTTCAAGGCTTTGGGTTTGGTTTGCTTCCAGGCTTACCTTTGGAAACCAACCCTGTTTTTCTCTTCCAGTATCCACGAGAGCCTCAGTTACCTGGAGGGCAGAGCCACAGTGTTCCACTCCCATTACCTCTCCACATGGGCAGGAACCCAAAGGAAGCCCTTGGTGGCTCTGGGCCACTTCATCCTGCCCCCAGCCTGCCTGCAAGAAGGTCAGGGAAAAAAAATTCACCTGGGTTTTCCCTCCAGGGGATTCCCCAGGAGTATAGCCTTTGTCTGCAAACAACCTCCGGTTACTTCTTTGCAGGGAGGGGATTTCTTCCTGCTGGGAGTGGCTCTTCCTCCCTGCAGGCAGAGTGTGCGTTATTGTTACAGAATCCCAGGCTGGTTTGGGTTGAAAGCGACCTCAAAACTTATCCCATCCCCTGCCATGGGGGATGGGGTAAGTTCCACTACACCAGGCTGCTCCAAGCCCCGACCAACCTGGCCAAGAACACTTGCAGGGATGGAGCAGCCCCAGCTTCCATGGGCAATCTGTGAGAGTGTTTCGCCACCCTCACAGCCAAGAATTCCTTCCCAATATCCCATCTAACCCTGCCCTTTGGCAGTGGGAAGCCATTCCCTGTGTCCTATCCTTCCAGGCCCTTCTCCAAAGTGCCTCTCCAGTTCTCATGGAGCATCTTTAGGCACTGGACCAGGTTCTAAAGTGTCCCTGGAGCTTC